GTTGGATTATTTTTTTTTTTTTTTTTTTTTTTTTGGTTGTTTCTTTGAGACAGGGTCTCCCTTTGGAGTTCAGGCTGACCCTGATCTATGTAGCCCAGGCTGGCCTTGAACTCCAGGCAATCCTCTTGGCCCAGCTTCCTGAATGCCAGGATCACAGGCATGCACCACCACACCCAGCTAGTACAGATTTCTAATATGGAAAAATATCAGAAAAACTGGTTCAAATTAGAACTTGTTGACAATATTTTTAAAACATTTTACTTCCATTATTTACAGTTTCTGAATTATTTTCTTCTAAATGGTCCACGATCAAATAATAGGAAATTAAGGAAATTGGCTTTTAAAAACATGCTGAATTCCAAATTGACAGAATGTTTTAGTCTTTAATATAAAATGGAAATATATGGAGATTTAGAGTAGAATCTAGTGTTAATGAAATACCTCATGAGTCTAGCAGTAAGTCATAAGGAAGAAGTATGTATCAGTAATAACTTGTAATAAGAGGAGTCTATAATAGAAGACCTTGCAGGTAAAAGTTGCAGAACAATGGAGTTGGTGCTACTCCTTCCTTCAGTTCAGAAAATTCCAAAGTAGTGCAATTGTCAGTAGTATTTACTGTTGCGGGAAGCATCTAATGCTCCTAAATAACTTCCAGGCCAACTCATTTTATTTTTTGGAAGAAAATAATTTTATTCTAATTATCTCAATTCACAACATCACAACAGTTGGTTTAAGGAGGCCACACAAACATCTGCCCCAAATTCTAGACCATCTGGTAACTTCTGTATGGCCAGTACACACACTGCCATTGTGAAGGGTCAAGTCAATGGTCTAACATTTTAATTACGAATTATATTTCCTTGCTAAAGTAACTTGGTTGGGATCAAATTCCCAGTTCTTCAATGTGAACTTCCTGATTAGAGAAGTGTGTTTACAGTTCTCTCAGCCCTTTATTGAAACTTTCAGAGGCTGGTTCTGCACACTCCAAAAACTTTTTTATCTCCATGAGCAAGAGCCACCAGACTCCTTTCTGCTGCAGCAGGTAGGTTTTGTGAGGTTCCTGGTAAGTCACATCTGGCTTTGAGTGCTCGCCTCCCTGATGAAGCTGAGAGAAATGGCACACCCAGTGTGTTCCCTACGGCAGAGCCCACCCCACTGCAGTGGTAGCCACCTGGGCCATCAGACAGGCTGCCAAGCAGCAGCAGCAGCAGCAGCAGCAGCAGCGGAAGAAGGCAAGCACACAGCGGCTGCTGCCTGGAGCAGGGCTAATGGGGCTGGCCTGGGTGCCTGCCTGGGTATAGCTCATATCTCAGGGGCCTGGCTGGGCAAAGAGGCATGCAAGAAGTGCAGCTTTGGCTTACACGAGGCATTCCTGGTAAACAAGAAAAGTCTAGAAATGCAAAACCCTGAGAAGACTCTCCCAACTCATTTTAGATCAAGGTACCTAGTACCTTTTATCCATTCAAAATATAAAAATTATCCCAGAAATAAAAATGTGTTATCACAGTTAGAAAATAAATTGCAATGAAGTAGAACATAAAGGTGCCTCTACTGTTATGTTTCCTTAACTGTCTTATGCATTTGGAATACTGTTTTGACAAAATGCGTATGAGTGGTATGTGTATGAGTAATATTCCTCAGAGACAGAGATGACATATTCCTTATCATTTTCAACATTTCATGATGTTAAACTCAGAGAGATATTCAACAAATACTTATTGTCCAGCTGATGGTAATGTCCAAAAAGCTCAGATATCTGAGTTTTTTTTCTGTTGGAATTAAGTCTTCATTCTTTAACTGATGGTATAAATCTTTTTATCTGGTTTGCAAATTTTCAAAGTTTTAAAAATTACTGATAATTTTATCATCACTACAACTTTTGGGTATAACTCAGTTTCTTCTTTTAGTTCTTTTCTATATTAATGTCATTACTAATTATAAATTAAACTTTACATTTTATTATAATATTCTTTTAACAACTGTATGTACCCAGAATTAGATTTAAGTTTATTGTGGTGTAATTAGATGAAAAGACCAGGTTGAATTATCAGCATAAAAGAAAATCACTTATTTCACTTTTGTGAGGAAGAAAGTAAGTTTGGAATAGACTAACTTGGTGAAACTAAATAAAAAAATTATATAATTAGATAACTGACATTGTGAAATGGGAAGAAAAGGTCTAAAGGTGTAGGGAAGGTGGGATGGGTAGGGGAAGGGTAATAAGGGAAAAGAAAAAATGTGAGAAAGTGAAAAGATGGAAATAAAGTGGTTGTAAATGGGGAGAGAAGTAGGGGGTGAAGGGAGGGCAGGGATAAGGGGAAAAAATGAGAAACAAGACATCATGTAGAGGTACAAGATCCCAACAATGAATGTAACTGTACTGTATCCCTAAAATGTACCAATAAACTCAATTTAAAAACGATATATAATGCTATTATTTATATTTACTTATTTATGTGATACCGGGGATCAAACTCAGGACATTGCGCTTGCAAGGTAGGCAGTGGTGCCACTGAGCTAAATCCCCAGCCCAACTATTATTTATAAAATATAAGACCTAACTAGAGAGAAATACATTAGTATATAGACTGAAATTATCTGTAATCAACACATCAAGTACAATCATGTGCCACTGCAAGTTTTGGTCAATGACAGAAAAATCTATGTGACATTACATAACATTTACTAGGCTAGGTATGCAGTTGGCTATCCCATTTCAGTTTGTGTAAATATGGAAAAAATCACAAACCGATTCATTTCTCAGAATATATTCCATTATTGACACATAACTGTATAGAGATTATACCAGAAATTAGATTTATTTACTTTTGTGCAAAAAGGGGATGAAACCCAGAGCCTCCTATACTCTACCAATGATCCATACACCCAAACATAAAATTACATTAATTTTAAGTGTCGTGAAAGTTTTACTTATTTTTCCAAGTTTTGTTTGGTTATTCAATAAGTGCTCAAATAGTAGGAATTATAACACATCTGATAAACATAAATTCTAATAACGAGATTGTATGGTAATAAAGAAGCAATTTATCCTTCTCTTGCCACAGATTTTCAAATTATTTATCAATGTAATAACTATGTTTGGCTTTCAATACTTATGAAGATAATTCTTACCGGTTTATTAATGGCCTCCTTCAACAATTTTGCTGCTTCTTCCCAGTTATTTTGTTTGTTTTCTTCACAAATATTTAATGGGGATCGTCCTTGTTGGTCTGTTATGTGCTAGAAATGTGGAGAAGAAAAAGGAAAAAAAGGATATTATAAAATATATTGTATTCTAAGGAAAAATGTCATCAATTAATCAAGTTTCTGTATTACGTGAATCATTAACTACACTTAGTACATATAATATTTAAATAAGATAAATAAGAAAACAGTTAAGAAATATTTAAGAAGATAAAAGATTCAAAACACTAATCAATGTGATTTTTTTTAAGTTCTGATAAAGATACAACAAAGATATTAACGGTTTTATTTTCTACCTTATGAAATATTTGTTACAACAAATTCTAGAAAATAAGTAGAAAAAAAATTTTCTATTTTCAAGACTTTTTTTCTGGTGGTACCAGGGATTGAACTCAGGACCTTGTACTTGGGTGACACTGAGTTACATCCCAACCCCTCAAGACATGTTTTGAGAAGTACAATATAAAATGAAGAAATGTTATGTACACGGATAGTGGTAACATCTGCATAACATGGGTGTACTCAATGCCAATGAACCATGCACCTAAAAAGTTAAACCTATAAACTTCATGTGATGTGTATTTTATGACAATAAAATTTTAAAAATAATTTATGTTCAAAAGCATAGCTTATATGATTATTCTAAAAAGTGAAATTTTTATTTTTCAGCTGACCTCAAGTGTAAAATTGAACACATTAGTGTCATTATTTATTATTTCTTAAACATTAAAAAGAGAAAACTGAAAAGTAACTTACTCGGTCAATTTCTGGATGACTTAAAAGAATCTGTACTATTTCAACATGTCCACCTCCAGCAGCAAAATGCAGAGGAGAACTCAGCTGTCCATTTAATAGGTTTGGATTGCATTTTCCTTTCTCTAATAATATGCGAGTGGCCTCAACTTTTCCATACCTATAAAAAAATAAAACTTATTTAAAAAGTAATCTGAAATGTTTTTTAAAAATCCAAATTTTCAATATTTCAAAGAGATTTCTCTAGGACAGAGAAGGGATTAACAGTCTACGACACTAATACAGTGGACCCTTAAGTTATGATGGGCCTCACAAATGAAAAACTTTGGTTAATTAGATTAATGGAAGACTCATCTGCCTCTTGTTATCTATAGTGTGTATCCAGGTAAGCATCCAGATCTCAGCTATATTGACTTGCAACCAACTTGAGTTAAAACCCGTCCTTGGGAACTGATCAAGTTCGTAAGTCAAAGATCCACTGTATAAGTTTTCAATGCTTAGGAACTTTTTATGAATTATTCTAGTTTAATTAAATTGTTTCTAACTCAGATCCACTGAGAGAAAATACAACTTCAAATATAACATTGAGCAGATGACAGAGAAAACACCCCATTCAAACTACAAAAGTTGTATGTTAGGAAGATACAATTTTTAGTCAAAAAAAAGTTCAGAAGGCTGGGGCATAGCTTAGTGGTGTAACAGGTACTTAACTTATACAAGACCCTAGGTTCAACCACGAGCACCAAAAACAGACAGGCAAATAAAAAAACAGACTCAGAATTAGAAAGCCATAAACTTAAAAGAATGTTTTACCTTTAGGCCTGATTATGTTTTATAAAACAGGCTAAAAGTTAGTCCTACATGTAGTTGCTACATTAGGTAATGTAGATGACAAAAATATATTATACATGGTCTCTGTTCTGAAGGCTTGGATTAGTCATATAATGCTGTAAGATTTAAGCAACAATTAACAAAATAAGGGACTTCATGTTTGTTAAATCAAAATTCTATTTAAGCCGGGTGTGGGGGCACATGTAAAACAGGCTAAAAGTTAGTCCTACATGTAGTTGCTACATTAGGTAATGTAGATGACAAAAATATATTATACATGGTCTCTGTTCTGAAGGCTTGGATTAGTCATATAATGCTGTAAGATTTAAGCAACAATTAACAAAATAAGGGACTTCATGTTTGTTAAATCAAAATTCTATTTAAGCCGGGTGTGGGGGCACATGCCTGTAATCCCAGCACTCAGGAGGCTGAGGCTGGAGGATTGCTGTGAGTTCAAGACCAGCCTGGGCTACATAGTGAGTTCCAGGTCAGTCTCAACTACATAGAGACACTGTC